ATATATATATATCTTGATCATTTTTCTCCCTGTCTCCTTCTCCAGATCCTGTTCTCATCCCTACAGAGTCTACCTTTTTTCTTAACATGTCCTTTTTCAGCTACAGCAGGGGATGAAGGAAGTAGAAAGATAGGAGAGTTCAGGGGCTACAATGTTTCAATTATAGAAGGTGTCTTTTGATCCCTAGATATGGTCTACTACACTGTTCCTAAAGCATTTCTGTTATCTTTCTTACCCTTCTTTTTTTTCCTGCATTTGCATATTTTATATTTATTTATGTATTTTTGCATTACATAATGAGTACATTTATTTCTTACCCTTCTTGTAAAATGTCAAAAATACAATTTCTTGCCTAAAGAGAAAGGAGTTATTGCTAGATTAAATATTTTTTGTTTTGTTTTGTTTCTTCAAGCAAAAAGCAGTGGCAAAGTTTATTTGAAAAAATGAAAGTGAAAAGTGAGGGAGAAACTGGCTCTACAAAGTGAGATTGGGCCGGGTAAAAGAGGCAAAAGCAAAATAAAAGTACACTCTGGAGGAAGCAGGAAAGCCACAAGAGCCTACTGCTAGATTATTTTCATTTCTGGCCTTAACTTGCCCATCTCCTGACCCTCCTCTGAAATTACACAAAACTTAATTCTTGGCAATGCTATGAAATTATGAATCCTCATTCTTCTACTAAAGTCAATCCAGCAGCTCTGCCCCTGGCCAAGGAAGGAGGAAAAACAAAAACCAATTGAGCACATAAAAATATGACAGTGTATGCCATGTAACATTTCCAGTGCCTTCACCTCCTGTCTTCTCCACAGTGAGAGCCCTTCTCTAATCCTAAGTCTCACTTGCACCCTTCCCCAGCCAATTCCCACAGATACTCTCATTTACTGTAGGCCAGATACAGAAAATAATTTTACTCATGGTTTTCCTCAGAAAGCTGGCCCATATAGCACCGTTAGGTCTTAGGTAGATTCTCTTCCAGATTAAGTAGAGGGCCGGGGATTTAGCTCAGCGGTTCGGTGGCCTGCCTTGCAAGCGCAAGGACCCGAGTTCAATCCCCAGTACAAAAAGTGGTCAGAGGGCAATAGGTACTTCCTTGGCTCAGACCAGGCACCCCAACTTGAGGAGCCTTCTCCATGATAACCTGCTGTATCAGCCACTCCCATCATTTCCCTCTCCTCTCCCCCCCCCTCTTCTCTTTCTGAAACAGGGTCTCATCAAGTAGTTCAGGCTGGCTCTGAATCCACTATGTAGCCCAGGCCGGCCTTGAACTCACAATGGTCCTCAATCCTCAGCCTCCTGCCTCAGCCTGGGATTACAGACATGTATCACCACGCCCAGCATTTCTGCATTCTTTAAGACAGCAATGTTGCACCCCCAAATAAATTGCTCTTGCACAAATGGGCTCTATTTGGTGCATATCTCAACCTACACATGTTCTGTTTGTTTCTCAATTTGTAAGCAGATGGAGTTATGCTAGACTAAAAAAACTTTTCTTCATTTCTGAGGATTAAACTTAGGGCCCTGCACATGCTAAAAGTGGTCTACCACCAAGCTATACTCCCAGCCTACATTAAACAATTCTTACTCTAGACTCTATAGACAAATTTCAAAAATATATATGCAAAATTTTCTTTTTATATATGCAAAATTTTATATGTACATTTTTCTGAGGAAAGAATCCTCAGAATCTTAAAGAAAATCAACAGCAAGGAAACTGAGCATTCTCTTCCAGTCCTCCAGCTCTGAAATTCTCCAACAAACTATACAGCTTTCCTTTCAAGAACTGATGGAACCATTATTTTATCCCTACTTTTCTCTTTCATATACAGCATTGCTTCACTATATATCACCCTGTGCAGCTGCTGTAAAAAGTTAGAAGGCCTGAGAAAAAGTATTTGACACAACATATATAAGAATGAAGAAAATTTCTCAATTGAAAATAATCTAACCTAAGTGTTCATCAAGAGATGAACTTGTTGGGGCCAGGGTTTAAGCTCAGTGGTGGCGCACCTGTTTCAAAAGCTCAACGTCCTGAGTTCAATCCCCAGTACAAAAAAAAAAAAAAAAAAAAAAAAGATGAACTTGTTAAATAAATTATGCAGATATAAAAGGAAGCTTCTTTCATGTACTGATGTGGACAAATCTTTAAGATACATTAAATGATAAAAACAGACTATAGAATGGTATATTCAAAATATTGCTAAACATGTAGAGTAGATAGGAGGGAACAGATACTATGTATGTGCTTAATTTTATACAAAATGTATTTACTTACATATCCAAAAGCTATCTCTGGATGTACAAAAATATTAATATCATAGGCTGCCCTTGAGGGAATTTGGTGGCTAGCACACAGTATGTGAAAGGAGCTTTTTAAATTGTTAACTGTTTTCCTTCTACATTTAAATTTTTTGGAGCCTAGCATGGTAAGACATGCCTACAATTCCAGGACTCAGAAGGCACTCAGAGGCAGAAAGATCACCATGAGTTTGAGGCTAGCCGGGGCTACCTAGTGAGTTCAGGACCAGCCTGAACTAATAGAAAGACCCTGTTTCAAAAAAAAAAAAA